GAAAGGATTTGGGCTTGGGGTTTAATTTGGGTATTTAAATTTTTGGGTTGTTAAAGCAATGGACCGTTTATAATTTGGATTTGATGTTGTTTTTTGGTGTATGGATCTTGGATTTTAAATTAGATTAAGAATCCAATAAAAAAATGTGGTCAACTTGTTACCGTTTATAAGTTAGAAGCATATGTTGTTACCTTAAAATGTATGATGGAAAAATGGGTCATCAAGTATAATTATTATATTTTAGGATAAATTGTGCGAATTTTAAAAAAATTCACGACCGTGACACCCACAGTGACCGCGATTGCATCCGTTATGTCCGCAATCGCGATATAAACGCGACGCGACCGAAAACGTGACCGCAAACGCTATTTAAATCCCTGGAGCCTACCAAGGTTTGTGTCGACAACAAGTCAGCCATTGCCTTAGCAAAGAATCCAGTATTACATGATCGAAGTAAGCACTTCGATATTCGCAACCACTATATAAGGGAGTGCGTTGCAAGAAAGGATGTGGAAGTTGAATACGTAAAGTTACAAGATCAAGTTGCTGATATTTTTACCAAGCCACTGACAAGCGAAGACTTCATAAGATTAAGAAACTTACTAGGGGTCACAAGATCAAGTTTAAGGGGGTGTTGGATCATAAACTTGATCCATTATGGGAGCCTAAACCCAAACCTAAATTAAATTGATGTCACTGCTTACATCAATTTAGTTAGGTGAGAGTTAGGTATTTGTATATTTTAATGGTTTAAGTTATTTTATTTGTGTGGTGTAGGATTGTTCTTGAGTAGTATAAATACCCCTCCCCATTTTAGTTTAAGCATCAAGAAAAATTAAGAGCTTCTAGGTGAGTGAAGAAGCAAAGTCTTATAATAGTGAGTTGTAGTTCTTATTTTTGAGTGAGAGTGCTCTTGTAATATTTGTTTGAGTTTCAATAAAAGTTGTTTGTATGAGTGTTTTATTTCTAACAATAATGTTGTGAAGAAGCTTATGGGATTTCCATGAAGTTCTCGTTTTGGAGTTTTGGAAACGTTAGAAGAGAATGACCGGAGCATGGAGAATCTAAGTACAAGGGCTGGTGAGATGTCAGAACAGGTTGTTCTCCAGAAGCAGGTGAACGTGAATGCTGCAAACCAGAAGGGTAAAGGTGTGGAATTGGTTGAGAAAGCATCGGTAGGGACAGTTAAACAACGTGGTATTAAAAAAAGGTGCCGAATTGGTCATTAATGAACCATGCTTGGGAGTATCAAGAGAAGCCTTGAAGGAAGTTACAGTGAATACTCTTAACACCAAGCGCAATGAGGCAGCTGCCAATTCTTTCACTGTTGCTACCTCGAAGGAAAATCAGGATGTTCAAATTAAAGTTCATATTCCAACAATTCCTACAGGGAACCACACATCTGTCTCGATTGTTGAATCAAACAGGAGCAAATAATCCAATGATCGTGGTCAGAAAGAGATTGGTAAGGTCGGACAATGGAAGGGTGGTAAGGAAGATACCCTTAAAGGGTTACGAGTTAAAAAACAAGTAAACCATAAAACACCAAGTCGCCCTCTATTATCTGAATGGGTTCAATCTGCGGCTACAAGAATTGAATCTCCTTTACGTTGAAAGAGTGACATGCAAGACATAAGGGTGTTGAATATTAATAGTGACGTTCAGGATGGAGTTCGTATGGGGAACTGATTTTCGAGTTCTGGGAAAAAACGGGGCCGAAGATGGCCAATTCTCAAGCGACATTATTAATGGTTGATTATTTGTTTTGGAATAGTCAAGGCGTCGCTAGCTCATCGTATCTCCGTCATCTTAAAGAGGTAATTAGAAAGTTTAATCCGGGTTTTATTGCTTTGCATGAAACAAGAGTGAGTGGAACAAAAGCAGATGAGGTTATTCGTCGGTAGGGGTTCTTAGTTGAGGGTTTTATTGTTTTGGTAATTTAGTTTTTAACAATGCGTTGATAGCGATGCATTTTCAAGGACCAGAATTTACGTGGGCGTGTAGATCTCTGTATCAACGTCTTGACAGATTTCTAATGAACAAAGGTTGGTCGAATATGTTTCCTGACTTGATGGTCTTTCATCTCGACCGTTTGGGTTCAGACCACTGCCCAATTTTGCTTCGAACAGTGAAACCAATTACACCAAAGTTAGAGAGACCACTCCATATTGTTTTTTCCCTGGCAATCACATGCTGATTTTGCTAGTATTTTATAGGCCAATTGGGTGGATAATGAGGACATTGGGACCAATTTGAAAACTTTACAGGGTGCGTTAAAAGATTGGAATAACTCAACTTTTGGTTCAATTGAACAGCGCAAAAATAAGCTTTTAGCTCGTTTAAGAGGTATTGAGAAGGCGCTGTCAACTAGACATTCAAATTCTCTATCAGAGTTGTAATCTCGTTTAAAAGATGAATTGGAGATCGTTTTGAGCCAAGAGGAAAGTTTATGGATGCTAAAGTCTACGTGTAGTTTGTTTATTTCTGGGGACAAAAAATCGAAGTTTTTTCATGCTAGTGGCAGGCAGCGTCGTAGTCAGAATACGATTGATATGCTTCGATTGGAGGGATGGGCTTTGGCATATGGACCAAGATGCTCTTATGAGGGAAGAGCCTATAATCTCGCATTTATTTTTTACAGATGACTTGGTTTTGTTTGCGGAGGCCAATATGTCGCAACTTGAAGTTATTTAGAGGATTCTCTCGGATTTCTGTAAGAGTTCGGGGCAGAAGGTGAGTCTGATGAAGACCAATATTTTCTTTTCCAAGAATGTTGTTGAGAATGATAGGTGCGTATCAGTTTGGGTTTTCAATTTTCACCCGTTGATGATCTGGGCAAGTATCTCGGTGTCCCCCTTCTCCATAGTCAGGGTCTCCTATGGCACGTATAGTTATTTGGTACAGAAAGTTAGTGATCGGCTGACCTTTTGGCGTGCTAAATCCTTGTCCCTTGCAGGGAGAATTGTCATGGCCAACTCGGTGTTGGCTGCACTACCCACTAATGCGATACAAAGTTGCTATTTGCCGAAGAAGATTTACGAGTATATCGAACAGCTGATTCGTAATTTCATATGGGGACATACTGAAAATCGTCGGGGGATAAATTTAGTTAGATGGGAGGAAGTGTGCCAACCTATAGATGACGGTGGTCTTGGTATTCGAACGATGCATGATCAGAGTGCCGCCTTCCTTATGAAATTGGGTTTCAAGCTTATAGCCAACCACAACCATTTGTGGCGCAAGGTTTTAAGATCGAAATATAAAATGTTTGAACTAGTGCCAAGATTGATTAAGAAGCTTGGTCTCGGCTGTGGGGTGGATTATCTATGGTTTGGCCTGACGTGTGCAATGGTAAATCTATTGATTTTTGGCATAACTCTTGGCTTGGAAATCTTGGTCCCCTAAAAGATATTTGGAGCCTGTTAACATCTATCATCTATGGTATCACAACAAGGAGATTGGAAATGGGAGGAGCTTTACTCGTCATTACCAAGTACTGCAATCTTGCACCTGATGGCAGTCAAAGCTCCATTGGAGCATAGTGGGGACGACACACCTAGCTGGCTATGGGAACGTAACAGATTATTCTCGATAACTAGTGCTTATAATAGCAGGAGGCCAACTTTCAACTCTCCTGGCAGTTCGATTTGAAAATCGATTCAGAAGTTACAAAGAGTACCGAGAGTACAGCTCCTCAGTTGGTTGATTTGTAAAGGTCGACTTTTGACCAATGAAGAAAGATTGCAGAGACATATGACAGATGACGAGAGTTACTCCTTGTGCGGAGCGGCGAAAGAATCATTATCCCATGTTTTTCGAGTGTGTTCGGAAGCGAGGATGACGTGGAATCAGCTTATAAAACTGGAGCAGACTGTTAAGTTTTTCACCATGCCTATTGTCGATTATGTTCGCCTCAATATTCAGCAACCGGAATTCTTTCCTTTGTCCTCGGATGACTGGGGGAGTTTGTTTGGAGCTATTCTATGGAATCTATGGGCGAACAAGAATCATTCAATTTTTAATCCTGATGTTTTAGAGACTGAAAGTGTACTGCATCGAAGTCGGAGGATTCTTTTGGAGATGGCTCAAGCTCGAAACCTGCTGGTTACTCCGAGTATTATGCCAACTAGGAGAGGTTATGAAGGTGGTGCCCACCTCTCCAGGATGGTTGAAGGTTAATATGGATGGAGAGCGAAAGTCAGAATCGGGTCATACTACTTGCGGCAGTGTAATTCGCGATGCAGCTGATGTATGGATTGGTGGTTTCTCTAGAGCCATTGGTAGAGCCATTGGTACGTGTACAGTGGTAGATGCGGAGTTATGGAAAGTTATCGAAGGGTTAAATTTGGCCTGGGAATTGGATTTGAGGCAGGTTGTTTTGGAGACGGACAATGTCGAGGTGTTTCGGCTGTTGTAACAGAGCAGAAATGTGGGACTGAACTCTCATTTAATCCCGCATGTTCTTGATTTTTGGAATCGGGATTGGCAGTTGGAAGCTGGTAATATGGTTCGGGAAGGGAACAAGATTGCTGATGGAATGGCCAAACTAGCTTGGAATCTCCCTTTTGGATGCAGGACGTTCAGGCAACCTCCAGCGGAACTTCTTTGCTTATATCAGAATGAAGCAGGCACTACACCAGTTCTTTCTAGAGTAGTCCATTAGCTGTTGTTTACGATCCTTTATATTAAAAAAAATAGTTTTCTTTTGTTGTTTATTAAAAAAATTAAGAGATTAGCAATTTATATTTTTTTATCTATTAATAAATTAGTAATTTTTTTAATGAAATAATTTTTTAGGATAATTACTAAAACATTATATTAAAAAATTAACGAGTTGCTCGTGAACTTATCGAGTCTAACTAGACTTTTCTCGAATCAAATCGTTAAGGTCTTGATTCGAGTTCAGATCGAGATCGAGATCGAATCAAGTCAACTGAGTCGAATTTTTACCGAGTCGAACTCGAGCTTCTCAACTCATTAAGCACCCCTAAAAATCACTGGTTTTCAAACACAGTAAGTAGTTGAAACAAGGTATGTGATCAGATTCTAAAGAGAAAACAGCTTAGATTGTATCAGATTGGTAATGGTTTGTCAAGTTAGTGAAAGTGTCTTCAAGATCAAAGCACTCCATTATAAAAAAAAAAAAACTTTTGGTTTGTTTAAAGTTTGTGTTTTTTAAAATAAATGTCGAGGAAAAGAGTGAAATTGGTAATGATGGGAAAGAGAAACTTCGTTTTTTGTGCTGAAAAAGAAGAAAGAGTCTCCAACTTCAAGTGTGAATCTTTACTTCTGAGTATTTAGAAGCTGCAACCCCTGTTTAACTTATATGTGTGTTGGTTGGTCCTTGCCGTCATTGCCCATTGCCCTTGGGAAAGAAAATTAATAAATCAGCCAGTAAAATTGTGGGAATTTAGGAGGAAGAGGAAAAAGAAAGAATGATGATGATGAAGAAGAAGCTTTGTCAAAAAGTTAACGGAATTAAATGTCACGTCAGTAAAAAATTAATAAGAGATAACAACATAGATTAAAATGAAAATGAATTAAAAGTTAAATGTTGTATTATAAGTTTCAAAAGTTGGATGACAAAATGTAAGCATCCTAAAATTCAGGACTATTTATATACTTCACCTTATAATTAATATGTTTTTTTAAGGTTTTGTCGGTAATTCCATACAATTCAATGCAGTCGACTTCTCTTCCGAAAGGTGTTTGCGGGGAAATTAAAAAGATAATTAGAGGCTGCATTTGGGGAAAATCTGAGCCAGGTAATAGGATTAACCTGGTTAATTGGAATACCTTCTGTACTCCTATTTCCGAGGGTGGCCTGGTTTCAAACGAAGATTGCTTTTAATATTGTGACCAAGCCACACCAACTATGGGCGCAAGTTTTACGTTCAAAGTATAAGTGGGAAGGAGTTGTGCCCATTGATATTAATCGGAGGAATTGCTCTCATCTCTGGAAGGGAGTGAGTTTAGTATGGCAAGATGTTCGGTCGAGCCTTGTTTGGACTGTTGAAGACGGGTTGCGTATTTATTTTTGGAGGGACCCATGGCTAGGAGATGTTGGTTCGCTGCGTGACTATATTGCAGATCGGAATGTGGCAACGACTTTAACTGTAACACCTTTAATTCGTATACGTACTTAAATACAAGTTAAAGATGTCACAATGACTTTTTATAATTTTTTCATACTTGAAAACCCGTAAAATTTTGTTTCATTTTAAAATTTCAAATTATCGTTTAAAACTCATTTAATAATTAATGTAAAACCTAAAAAAATATTTTTACCGTCAAATTTTAATCCAATTTTAGGCAATAATTAGGCAGTTTGATGTTGTTTTCAACATATATGAAACTGCTATAATACTGCTTAATTAAAAAATTCAACCAATACTTTTAAAACAGTTATATCATAGCAACCAGAACATTTATAACATATAGGCTATAGGCTACTAATAAGTTAAATGTCTTACTGATACTGTAGGACAGTATGATTTCCCAAGAAAAGAAGCACTTAGTGTTCCTTACTTCATGTCCTTTCTTTATCTGAATCTACGTACGAAAATCATCAAGCGTAAATAATTCTTAATGAAACATTAAAAATATAATTCAAATAAAAACATTGAGATTTTTAAACTGATATTTTCAATCTATTTTTTTCTCTTCATAAACTTGAAAATCATCATCTCATGATTTTATCAAAATCATGATAATCAATAACAAACGTAATAATCATTTCATTTTCTTTCTCATTCAGAAACATCTTAGAACTTTCATATTTCATTTTCATTTTCTTTTCCTTTTATATACTTTCAAAACTTTAACATTCATTTTTCATATTTTACTTTCATAGCTCAATGTATACGTAAGAGAATACAAGGTATACGCGAGTCAGACATAATATGCGCACTAAACACTTCACAATGCTATCATCAGAATCAGAAATGCACTCCAAGTGCATTCGTAATATTTGCACCAACGGTACCTTTCATAATGTACACGAATGTACCATATCAGAATCAGATTTTACTTTACTTTATTCAACTTCCTGACATGTCAAGTGTACCTATGACTCTCAATGCAACATACAATAGGCTGCCAGATCATATTATATTCATTTAAATCAAACATTTTCAAAACAAATCATTTCCATTATTACCAAAATTCATTAGTTGGGCAGTTTATACCCAAATTCATCCATAACATAAGATACATATATCATATAAAATACTTTAGGCAATTCGTACCCAAAAATCACTTTAGAGATTTCATACGAATATTTTTCAAAAATATAATATACATAAATATTGGGTAATTCACACCCAAAAATCATTCATGAAACCTTATTGTTCCATAATTAGAATTAAATCATAATTTAAAATTCATATTTTAAAATAATATGAGATTGACTTATCGTAAGTCTCCCTCAGTTAGAATAATTAAATAAATAAATTGCACTCACCTTTGTCTCACTAATAAATATTAGCATTGATTTTACTTTTACTCCATGCCTTTACTTTTCTCTTTTTGATCGGGTTGACTTTAGTTGTGAACACTATCTAACTAACATATTAAATATGCATTCACCTAAATTCAAAACATAACATTTACACATTCAATACAGCTTCCATTAATTAAAAGTCCATTCTAATTCAATCTTGTAAATAACCTTTCTAGTCCTTGAAAATAATTTTTCTTGAATTTAAATCATTTCCACAATCTAACATGTAGTCCCCAATAAAGCTTTATTACTCTCAATCCTTACATTTCGAAAATTCTCACATTAATCTTCATGAGTACTTTCATTCCAATTTAATAATCATATTCACCATTCTTCATTAAATCTAATTTAGTATCCCAACCATGCAACTTTACAATTTCATCACTAATATTTTTCCCAAGCCTTTCAAATTGATCCTCAATATTTCATCACTTTCCAAATTAACCCAATTTAACATTCTAATAAAATTTCCAGCATAGCACTTTACTTTTCAAAAGCTTACATCTTAATCCTTTAACTTCCCAAACCTTGCAAAAGGGTCCCTAACAACTCAGCAAACTTCAATTAATCCAAATCATCATTTCAAGTATACAAGAACATTCTAATACTCAATCTAACCCATAGAACATTTTATAAAATTTTCCTAAAACCTTCACCATAATTGAATTTCTCAAAGTAGCCCCCTAAAAATTTCCATTTGTTTTCAAGCTTGAATCATCTTCTACATATCTTTTCCATTTTTTCCAAATCATTTCCATAACAAAACCAATAAATTTCAACATTTCTCCTATTTGTTCATGATGGACGAAAATTTCAAGTAAGTCCCTATAGTTGTTTTTAATCAATTTTCATGCTTATTTATGCTTCCATAACACTCCTAATATCCAATTTCAACCTTATTTCAACCAAATACAACTTCCCCTTCATCCACCAAAAATACCCATTTTCATATTTCAACATGAAACAATACAATACTTATACCAATTTGTAGAGAATTTAGTGTAGAACATTTTCTTATTTCACAACTTAATCCTAAATCTCACTAAAATAGACCAAAAATGAAAAATATAATTTTCTTTACCTTGACTATGGTGTTTCGTCCAACAGCTGAAGAAGGGGATTTCTTGAATTTTCTTTGAAAAATATCTCCTAATTTTAACTTAAAAGCCCATTTAAAACGAATTAAAATTTTATTTTGATCTGAAAGTCAAAATTATCATTAATGAATCCTTATATTTACCCCCATGCCATCATTTTATCTCCAATTTAATAATATTAAATAAATATAAAATCCTATTTATCAATTTTCCTCTTTGCTCTTCCAATTTTTTGAAAATTCAATTTAGTCACTAAATAACTATTCCACTTTATAGTGTAATTCCACCCAATTCCACTAATCCACATCAAATTCCACTTATTAAAATTATTAGTATACTTTTTCTAACCCAAAACTACCTTTCTTAAAATTTTTGTAAGCTTTTAATTCAATTCGATTATCCGATTCTATGCCTGACTTTAATGCAAACTCTGACTCAAAATTTTGATTCCCACAAAAATATTATTCCAAGACAAACTATTTATTTACAACCAAAAATATATAACTTTTTAAAATCATATTTTTGGTCCCTTAACTTTTACAAAGTTTATACTTTGGTCATTAAACTTTCAAAAATTATATTTTAATAACTAACAAAAATTTGGGTATTAAACTACCGGAAATCATGGTGGCGGACATGCTCGATGAACATGGGTAGTGGAAATGGCATATGTTTCATAATATCCTTCCTCAGGAAATTATTTGCCGATTGACGGCCACTATGACTCCGCCTAAAGCTCATGCGGTCGATAGTTTTGGGTGGAAGTGGCAATCGAATTGGTTATTCACAGTGAAGTCGGAGTATGAGCTACGTACAAAAACTGAGCCTGGATCGGTAGCTAATATCTGGAACATCATTGCTAAGTTTAAAGGTCTTCCAAGGGCGAAATCTTTCTTTGGTTGCTGATTTGTGATAAATTGCTCACAAATTCAGAGAGGGGTCGTCGGCTTATGAGCACCTCTTCAAGTTGTGGGGTCTGTGACGCTTCTGATGAAACCATTGACCATTTGTTTCGTACTTGTCCGACAGCGTTGGAGGTGTGGAAACGACTGATACATCCCGCGAAGCTTAATGATTTTCTGTCTATGAATTTTCGATCTTGGATGTTAACTAATCTGTCAAATCCGGATCACTTTGTAAGGGGCTTTAAAGAGTGGAATTTGCTGTTTGGGGCAATTCTATGGAACTTATGGAAGCATCGAAATCTGTGTTTTTGACAGGGAGAAGTTGGGTTGCACGTCATTCTTGGACCAAAGCTTTCGCCTATATGAGGAGAGCATGAGAGCTATGGAGTTTGCAAACAAACAACCTATCTCGTGTGTTGTCTGCTAGTCCTCTTAGGAGCAAGTGGGCTGCTCCTCCGGCGAATTGGATGAAACTAAACGTTGATGGGGCCAGAGACAAAGACGAGAATGATTCGTGTGGGGGTGTGATTCGAGATAGTAAGGGTGAGTGGAAAATTGGTTTCGCTCGAGCTGTTGGGATTAGTTCTAGCTTCGAAGCAGAACTCTGGGGAGTCTTTGAGGGCTTGAAGCATGCTTGGAGTGTTGGCGCTCGGTCAGTAATTGTTGAAACCGACAACGGGGAGGTTTTCAAGGCGAAAAGGAAAATCTCCGACAATTTTATTTCATATTTATGAAGTAGAATAGAAATTGGTCCATCTCATTTTCCCAGGTGAGCGGGAAGCGAACAAGCTTGCAGATTGCACGACGAAGTTGGTCCTGAAAGACGATTTTGCACGACTCCTAATGTACTCATGCCCATTTTGCTTGGTGACAGCCTAGACACTAGCAGATAGGCTCGTCCTCTTTGTTTACCAAAAAAAAAATCTAATAACAGTCTAATATATAATGCAACAAGGATTTAACCTGGTGCAGTCATTAAGCATTGGATTCCTGTAAAAGGGTCTCACGTTTGAACCCATAGCATTATATCGACATTTTCTTTTATATATTTTTGAACGATGAATAAGATGATGGCACATTTATTAAATAAAATATGAGGTGATTATATTGGCATGAAAAATCAAAATTTAGTAAAATGTTTATATTAATATTGTCATTA